TAAAATTTGGGGTTAAACCTTTTTCTCCACCCAAAGTTCTAGACTGTAGCAATGCTGACGTCACCTTTTTCCAAATTTTCGTGCGGAAGGCACAATCACGCGGAGTTTAATCTTTGAAATTATCTCGAAACGGCTTACTTACTTGATTTCTCTCTCGTGTTTTATTCAATTTTCGGGGTGAAATTTCTCGTTAATTAGAAGATTTGGAAAAAATCTGATATATGAATATAGTCGTTAGACTGTATCATATCGATATGCTGAATATATGTACTTATTTCGAAAACTCCTCGTATATAAAGAAATACATTGTTTGTGAGTTATAATTCCCATATCACTGAAACGAATGAATTTTTTGGAAGTTCCAAACTCATTAAGATCAGACTTCTTACAAATAAACTTCTCCTATACATTTCAATTTCCATTTCAATACTGAACATATTGGTATTTTTTTTTATATATCATAATACATCATATTATCAGATTCGAGAGATTGTCAATTCTCAATCTCAAACGATTTTTAGTTTTCATGCTCTACTTTTGGATGTTCAACAGATATAATTCAATGTTCGACGTGACAAATAGCCAGGAAACACTGAAAGAACAGTTTGGTTATAATAAATAAATATGATTAACTGTTACCAAATCCGTTATTGAAATATGCCTTATTAAACGTTTGTTTGGAAAAAACAAATTATTTGTTCACACCCCCATGAATAAGCCTCGTGCATGGTTAAATTATGATTATTCCATGAAAATATTCATTTGTTAACTGAGAATATATATTTCTTCACCCACACCAAACAGTATTTATCATTTCAGAATCTTTGTTTTTAGTAACCAAATATTCATACATAAGTACAGCATTAAAAAAACCTTTTATTGATAATGAATAAATATTTTGTTCGCTGTTATAATTCAATGTCTTCATTTCAGAAAATTGCTTATTGATTTATTAAATTTCCTGATGTATTACCACCACTCGTGGATCTCTCCGCGAAGGGGTGTTTGTAACAGTTAACGAATATTATTTATATAAGTATATAATCAAACTCATCAGCTCTCAGCTATGATGGCATACACACGTTTCCATGTACATATATTACTTTCTTTCAAATTCATGCAAAGCAAATGATATCAGAAAATACTCTTGCATACTACATAGGTATTCGCACCTACTTACGTTCAAAATGTTCCAATATCGATTGATTAGCACCACATGCACGCACTGTTTTTTTTTAACTCACTAAATGTTGTAAAATAGATGCACCTCGGGATGCACTGATAGTCGTCTGCCATTTTTTTTCATATGTGATGTCGTACCTACACTGAGGGAAAGGTTTTGTTACGATAAATAAATTGATTTGTTTGAGTATGCTTCGTTGAATATTAACGCCATCTTCTTGTCATCAATATACCTTATTGAATACTACCATGTTTTTTGTAAAAGAATCGTTGACTGAAAACAAAGGATTCGTTAGAAGCTGATTCTTTCAATATTAACATATGTTTTTAGGAGTAACTTCCATGAGTTTGTCACAAACCTGTTCGTTATATCCAAACTTTATGGAATCTTACTCTCGAATTACCATTTATTAACTGGTAACAAATTCTCTCCACAGTTTAATTGCTTAGATAATAAGAAATTGTTCTTGAGAGAAACAAATTATTCGTTATACAATTATTGACCTTCCCATGACGTAGTGATATTCTCTTCGGCGCATGCTCGAGGTTGGAATGCAGTAGGTAGTCGGAGTCAACATGTTAGACTGCAAAGGACGCTTGGAGTGGCCTAATAATCAAATATCAATTGCTAACACAGAAAATTGTGGTGTGCACTGTTGAATGTGAATTTGAGTTTCATCAGTTTGTGCTGGAGCATAGGTATTACACGAAGAGGCTGGTGAGTTTTTATCATATTGTTTTCAATTTCTAAGACACAATAGCGAGTCTGCATGGTGAATAAATCATACTAGCATTTACTTCTCCATCAAGTGTTATTATTAATTGAATTCCTATATATTTCTCATCGTCTGACTCTAATTCTTACCAATTTGATAACTATTAGGCATGCTGATACATTTTCTCTAAAGCTTGTTCTATAGACTTCCAAGATAGAGGAAACACTGAGAGGGTGGGGTCTAGGAAATTTTGTTGGAACATTCCGCAAGGTAGAATGGTTGATCTTCCTGTACATAGGATGATGATTGTACAGATCAATTGTGAGGAGATGACAAGTGCAAATTTATATAAGTGAATAGATTTATAAGAATGGATGCAATTCCACAAAATCCTTGATTGAAGAAACAAGGCTCGAATATGAAATTATTTAGATAGTAACCAATATTTGTTAATAGTTAACATGCCTGTGTTATTTTCAATCAGTATTCGACAACTGTTGAGATATCCATAAACATGCCAAAATTTTTGTATCTCATCCATTTTAATCCGTCCAAGTGCTTCGAAATTGATGCATCAGATGAAAAATCATGACTTTTCGACCTAATGAACATCGTTGACCTTGAAAAACCTAATAGTTTTTCATTTTCTAATACTTTACAATCATTTTGAATAATTAAATGCAATTTCAACATCCTTTCGTGCGCTCCAAGAGATGAAAAAATACCGTACCGATTATCAAATGGGACAAGATATATTATCTCTATCAAGAACTTGTTTATTTTTATGTTACAGATCATTCATATCAATATAGTGGATGCTCGATATCACCTGGATTTCTGGTCTGATTTTAGCTCTTTTTATTCAAATGTTTTGATATCAAAATATATGTGATGTAACTTTACTGTAAACTTTTGCTTAAATAAATTTGTTCTCAGAGACTCTTATTCTTTCTGTTAGGAAAAAACAATTGGAACCATCGATCATCGACTCAAAATATCAACTATTAATAACCAAACAATATATTATATATTGACGAAGCATAACTTATCAATAACAAGATGATTCCTTATGCTATAAGTGATGCTTCTTTATTGAAACAATGCCTCCTTTCTGTACAACACTGGAAAAGTTAAAATTAAAACGCAGTGTATTAAGTTTTAATATAGATAACTTAACATATAAGTGACAGTCGATTGCATTAAGAAAACGTTAATTGAATTCAAAGTAACGGTACATTATTATAAACAAATCTATTTTAATGCAAAATGGGGTATAGTGTCCACAAAGTGATATTTGTTAATATTTAATATATGTTTCATGAGATCAAGATTATTATAACTTAATATTAACCTGTATATTCGTTTGTAATTTTTTAAAATACCATCAGTTTGTGATGAAATCATGTTACTTAGTCCATATTCAACAACGTCATTCGTTAACAATGAATAAAATTTCTTTATTGTTAATAAACTGTTCCCTCAGTGTATATGAAATTATCCCAAGAAGCTAATTGTAGACGTAAATATACATGTCCAGATGTAAACAAACACTCACTGTCATATAAGGAATTGAACTAATATAACCATCACACTTCATAACTTTCGCGTTGGTCGAAATCACAGATAAATCAGGAACGATTTCACAAAGATGCACACGGTATCTAAGATGGAAGCTAGACTAAAATGATGGCCCATGCGCATGACAGTTTTTTAATTATAACCAAATGAATTGTTATAATTACCAAACGAAGAATAAAATGAAATATCCATTGTTATCCTTCATATTACGTATATTTATAATAAACAAATGTATATCATAATGAATAAACACATAGATTCATCAACAGACACTGTATCATTGTTAATTATCACCAAATCACATTATAATTATAAATTCATCTTATTGATTTTCACTTCATGAATCTGCGTAATAGATGAATTGTTAATTATTAAAAAATTTTGTTCACAATGAACAAATATGACAGTAATAAATCATTTATTGTTTATAAATAAAGCATAAAAACAGATACGATTTTTATGAATAAGCCTTTTCAATTATGCATATGGCTAATTAATTATAAACAAATTTGACGTTAACAAATATTTGATAATTATTACTGAGATTTTTCTTTCGGTGAAGAAGTTGTTTTTCTACTCAATATTCAGAATTATGTTATGTGCATATACATATTTTTATTTGAAGGAGAATGCAAATTCTCAACTTGAGAAGATTTTGTGCTCAATTTCTTATCGTGTGCGTTCAATAGATATAATTCAATGTTCGTCGTGACATATAGCCAGGAAAGTAGTTGTTTTCTGTAGAATAAACCGGGAAAGAATTGACATTTTTATTACAAAGACAATGCAAATTCTCAATGTTGTATACAGTTCTCAACACACTGAATGAACCATACTCATAATTTGACTCTTTTTCAAAGACCTGTATTTTTTTAAAAAAATTGACCGATCTTCATGCGGTTTTCGATATCAGATGTGATATTTCATCGGCTTCAAATAGAGCCAGAACACTCTGAAAAAGTCCGAAGAACAAAACTTACACAGGGTATAAAGTGGAACCAATACACTATAGTTTACATTTCCAATGCTGCCAGAACTCGAGAAATTTTTTTCTGATCAAAAGTCAGTCATATTCTGATACACTGGGACCTCATCTCGGGACGTTTTCGTGATTTCTCCTTAATTGGCCATTGGAACAAAAATTAGATTTTTTATCGAAAGTCTTGCATTTCATGAATATTTTCTCTAGCACTCCACTTGAGCTGAATATTGGGAAGAACTGTTCTCATGTTTTGTGGAGGATAATGAGATACGATAAAAGCACCCTTGAAAAAGAGTGAAATTATTAGTGGTCCATTCAGTGTGTTGAGAACTATATATCCATGTTCATATAGTTCATCTGAGAATATTCCTTTTCAATACCATATTATGGTAAAATTTTCCTCCATAATTCGTCTCTACGGCAAAAACATTTGGAACATGAGGTGCATCAGTAAAATGGCCTGTTCGTTCACTCGATCTCACTCATATAGATGTCTATAAAAAGATGACTGAAGTGAAATGGATCCATTTTATTGGTTTCAGAGTATGCGGAAATATGGGTTACTATGCAGATAGATCGAAAGGACGAGGACAGCTCTATCTACTCACCAGAGACGAAGAGCCATTTTGCGGTAAGACCGCATCACTCTTCCACTTTGCATACACAATTCCAATGTGGATATTTTTCAGCACATCAGTACCACGTGAAAATTGAATCATCTTTCAGTCCAGTAACGGTGAAAAGTTATGGAAAAATGCAGATCACCCTAATTGGAGACAATTCATTGAATGAAACGTTTACGATGACCAAGTTAGTAGACTCTGCGATAAAAAAACCTTCACTGTTAAATTTTCATGCATATTCCCAATCGATATATACTTTCATTATTGATCTCATTCATTTATTACAATTTATAGAGCGAGTCAAAATGAGACAGACGATTTTTATTACAGATGATCTACTACATTTTGAAGTGCAAAGTCCCTATCAATATCATTCCTTGAATGCATTATTACTCGAGATTCAGAGTACCAGATTTATATACAGGGTGTCGTACAGGTTGATGCAAACTCTTTCACATATATTCATTTCAGTACAAATTCTCTGGTTTTCGAGATAATCGCATCAATATCGCGATATTTCAAAAACATATATTGTAGCATAATAAAATGTATCAACTCAACCCCTCTAACATATTGAACAGAGGGAATATTTTTCGAAATTACATGCGAAAGTTGAAGAACAAAGAGAATCACGTACAGGGTGTCTCACTTAAATTTGTCCCTTTATTCTCGTAATTTTCAACATATTTTGGTCATGCATATAAAAACTTTTCTGGAATATTTGTTCACATTTTTTTTAATATGTGCCTACTTTTTCCTCAGATCAACAAAATACAGGGTGGCCCAGAAAAAAAAAATGTTTTCAAATTAGATGATCCTTATTTTTTCCATTATTCGATGGAGCTCCTCGATCTGAATTCAAAAATATATATCGTTCATATATTATAATCGAATGAAACATAGGAAAGAACCGCAGAACAAAAAAATATAATCAATATGTGGTCAACAGAGAAGTAATTATGCCTGGTAGTTAGACATCAACAACAATAATAATATTGATAGTTTTCTATATATCCTTCATTATTTTGGATGCAAATATTGCATCTTTCGAAATTTTTCACAATATTCTCATAGAAATTGGTATGATTCCAAATATTTATTCAATCTCTGAGTAACTCCTGAAGGTTTTGCCTGTTATCGATATCCTGATCGTAAATTTTTTTTTCTTCAAAGCCCCCCGAAAAGAAGAAATCAAGTGGTTCGAGGTCCGGACTGCGGGCTGGCCATGGAATCGTTCCATTTCTTCCGAACAATGTAGGAAATCGATCTCTGAGAAACATTACGACAGCCCTTGTGTTATGCGGAGGAGCTCCATCTTGCTGCCAGATTAGATTCACTTTGGATGGATGATGGGTAGATTATCGATAAAATCTCCAATTTCGCCTTGCAGCAGTAGTGAATAATTTTTTCCTGTGAGGGTACCCTCGATGAAAACAAGACCAATTACTTCATTCCGTGAAATGCCACACCATACGTTTACTGTTTGAAGACCCTGTTTCTTCATTTCTCTTACTGCTCTGGGGTTTTCTGTTGCACACATATGAGAATTTCGTCGATTGAAAAGTCCTGAGGTTGAGAAAGAAGATTCATCGGTCCATAAATCATTGTTCAGATTATGCATTTCAGCAATTATTGAGCCTGTTTTCTCGATCTCTTGGAAATAGTTGCTGAACATATAGGAATTTGAATGGTTTCAGGTAATTCATCTTCAAAATGCTTCCTACATAGCTTTTCGAGCTAATCGAATTGAATCTGTAGTATTCTGTTGAAAATGCAAGAGAATTTCCAGTTGCCTCTCTTTCGTAGCTAGTGTTGGTTGTCGAATCCTGTTTCTATCTGCTACACTCTTCTGACGCCTAAATTTTGTAACAATATTGCGGAAGGTTGTTCGGGACGGAACTGGCCTTTCCGGATACATTTGGGTGTAAAGTCGTCTAGCAGCAATAATTTCCATTAAACCGGTAGGAAACTTCCAGTATATCGCATCTTCCTTCCAGTGAGTGTCCCATTTTTGAATTAAATCTGACAGCTTGTAAATGAACTTGTCATATCATGACAAGAGAGTAGCAAGCATGGCCCCCTTAGACAAAACTAGCTTGAGAGAAGCAACTACTGTATTTCCCTAGGTTTATTACCAGCTATGATGTTATACGTTATAATATAATACGAATGATATTTATCTTCGAATTCAGATTGACGAGCTCCAGCAAATTATGAAAAATAATATTGGTCATTTTATTAAGTTGATACAGAAAAAAAGCGAGCTCAAATTGAAAAAAGGAAAGGAAAAAGAGGACACCCTATACGTGCTTTCGTGATTTTTATAAAAAATTCAAAAATGGCGAAATATCAAAAACTGGACGAAATCTGTAGTGGCTTTGTGTGGCTGGATATATTGAAAATGACGTCTACTGCAAACTACAGGACACTGTAACTGTAAACTGATACTGACGAGCACCCTGTTCCTCAGACATAAACGTTATAAGACCGTTTTGTCCACAAATAAAGAAGGTAGAGTATATTCAAAATCAATCAAGAATACCCCAAACCGTGCGGCGTCGGCGTGTTTGGAGTTCCCTTTGAAGTGAGTGTAGGTGCGGAACGAGACGATCTCTTCGAAGGGAACTTCACAACCGACGACGCCGCGTGGTGCGGGATATTCTGCAATTGATTTGGGATATATTTCAACATGAATATACCAAGTTTGCCGCTATTTTCGACATTGATCTCTAAGGATGAATGGATTGGATATTCATTATTTTCAAATAAAACATGCACGAAGTAAAACGATGCGAGAAGTACAAACTTCGCGCATTATATGTAAAAAATATGAGATTTTTGTATTCAAACTTTATGGTCGTCTATCGAGCAAACATCCAAGAACTGACTGATTGTTTAACAAAGATTTAGCCAGTTCTCAACTATTTTTTATATTGAGCTAGGCACATCACTACTCTCGAACTTTATTTTTGACGTTTGTAAAAAAACTGTTGTTTGTAACTCGTGCGCCAAATACTTTGACCATCTTGACTATTTTTAACTGCGCCTCGTTAAACAAATTAGTTTTTGATCACCAAAGTAGATACAAAAATACCTATTTTCTTCAATAAAATGATGCATTTTCAAAATATGAGATGGTGTGTTCTTCTTGCAACGCCAGATTTCAATATTTTTCCTGATCAAGTACCACAAGTATTTGAAACTGCTTGTATAAGATTTGGAAGTGAAGTGAAGACATTTCATGAACACACTTGTTCTGATGTATTAGACCAAAACAAGACTTTTATTATAATCATGAGCTCATTTTTTCAGGAAAGATGATGAAGAGATGATATTAGGTGAAACAATATCTAGGATGGTAGTACCTCACCCCATTCTAGCTCAATTGACTAAAATAGAAGTATTGTACACGGCATACAGTGGTTGGCTTTCTTCCGGTCTAACCCAATGGAGAATGGATAAGGTGACCTTGATGGATAGTTTTGGAAAAATGTAGGAAGAGTACATTCGATCTGAAATATCACACACCTCATAAACTTTCAATTCTAGGTTATCAGTGTGCAAGAAAAATCTCATACTTGAATCTGGATCACCTATGATACTGCCCTTATATCCAGGAGAATGTAATGTACCAGCTGACAAACCAGCAGATCAAGCAACTGATAGAGTTCATGAAATAGAAGACAAAATAATGGACGACTTCGATACGAAACCAGATTTTATCCCAACACAAGTTGTGAGAGTGGGCCTAGAAGATACTGTTGCCAAGAAGGAAGGCCCTGGAGGAGATTTTCGGACATCTAGTGATTTTTTCGATGTACCATGGAGAAATGATAAAGAGAATGATCTTATAGAAGAAGCCGAATCGAGTCGAGCTTTCAACACAAGAATCGTTAGACTTGGTAATGCCAATAAACCAGATGAGAAAGAAATAGTTGAACCAATTTTGAAACCACTTCAAAACAAGAATGCTAGATCACATGACCCAGAAAGAGAGAAAGGAGAAATAACAGAACCGATTCTAGGTCCCACAACAAGCAAAACATCTGGAGTCACTAAGACACCAGAAGACAACATGAGAACAAGATCAAAACACAGTCGTAAGCAGAAGGAAAATGAGAAAATATTCGACAATAATGAGGAATCATCTGATTGGGTACCTACAGAAATAAGGATAAAACCAGAAGGTAGGCCCAAGAGGAGGCGCCAAGATGAGTCAAGAATTTTGAACGGAATTTCTCCACCAAGCCATGAGAATCCTATAGAAACTCTAGCAACAACAGTCCAGCTATTACCTCAAAGATTAGCTAGAATGTTCGAACAGGCCGAAAAATATGCTAAAGAAAACTTTTTGCCTTTCGTTAGCACCTACACACCAAAATTCATCTCCGAAATAATAGCGCCGAAAGAAAATGCACCAAAATACGTTCCTTTGAACTACAAAGAACCGAGTAACATTGTGATATCTAGGGAAAGTATCTCATCTAAGTCGAGTGAAGCGAGAAGTATGCTAAACAAAAGATTTGATCCTCCACCACCAGAAATGAACACTGAAGAAATAAACACCCCTCATAGTAATATCCAGAGGATCTCAAAGGATGAACGGAGAACAGGAAAGGAGGAGATGGAAAAAGTGATGACAGTGACAGCAGAGTACAAAACTGAACCAACCATTACGGTGGATCGTTCGACATCTTCACCGTTGAAGGAAGTCACGAGAAGAATTAGGGATGATAAGAACGTTAGTAACATTCCTGAAAAATCAGATACTAATCCAAAACAACAAAAAACTTTTGCACTTGTTACTAAAAATGAAAAATCTAAAGATTCTAAAGCCATTTACATAGATTTACCTGTCTTTGATAATGATGATAAAACAGTCAAGTACATTCCGTTGAACCATTGAATCAAAATTTATTTATTTTATCGTTAACGAAGTTTGTATATAATATTTGTTGATTTTTATACATATTTTTTCGATTCATTAAAAATGAATAATAAAGTACCTGACATTTATTTGACACCAGTTGATTTAGATTAACAAGTGCGTGTCTAAAGATTCCTCCACCTGTTGAATATAGATCAGAATGAATTCAAGGAAATCATAATCGAACATATCATTCCAAGTTTAATTTTCATATGTTGCTACTTGGTACTGATCATAGAATTTTGGCTGATGTCACTTTGGGCATTATGAACTCAAACATTTCAATGGCAAGAAAGGTGATCTTATTCAACAGATAGGTATTTTGATCATCCATTAATCTACTAAAACTTGTGAAATGTACCTTTGTTTGGTGCATATACGGGGTTCTTCAACTAATATACTTCAAGAGTAAATAATAACTATAATCCCTCATTTTTGTTTCCGCCAGGATCAATGTATGGCATTGTACTGCATAAAACACCATTATATTACCTACATCATTTTATTCGTGAATCAGAAGTTCTTCTTTTGTATCTAAAGACAACATTGACTCATTCCAAATTCTGCACACTTCTTTGCTATATGTGAACCGCATCTAAAGTCCCAGATAGATATTCTCAGAGAATATTTGAATAATCTCAGAATCTTCTCACAATGTGATACAAATATTCTAGGGACGTTCTATAACATTCGGAATGGACTGTTCCAAATATTTTGAGAATATTCCCAGTATATTGAACGAGAAGGAAGGATATTAAAAAAAGCTTGCTCCGGTGGAGATACGAACCTACTATCTTGCGATTCACTTTTTACGAACCTGAAACCTCACCACCACTTCGTCACCAACCTGATTGATAAATAAAATGAATAGCAAGAAGACGAAGAATAGGAACCTAATCATCAGATATTTTGATATGATACTCAATATTCTCAGAATATTCGAAAATAATATTGAAAAAGAATATTCTGAGAATATTTCAAATATGTTCATAGAATATTGTTTGCAGAAAAAAAATATTTAAAGATCATTTTGATAACAATCTATGAGAATATTCTAAAATAACTATATTTGAACATTGTCAGAATATCACTTACTCACGTAGTTTATTCCTTTCCTAGTTATAAGTAGGACACTACTAGATATATTTGAAAAATATGCTCACTGAATTTTATAGAAGGCAGCGTCCATGTGAAATTCTGGCAAACCAGCCGTTTCAGAATTATTTGCAGTACGGCACATGCATAATAAAAATGTTCATTTTGTATTGAATGTCAATAATAGTTATTTATGTATTAAGGGAATTATGAGGGCCTTAATTACCGATGGCAAAGTTTGCGTCCCGAGGGCCTCTGGCCCGAGGGACAGCAATTGCCAGAGGTTATTAAGGCTCTATAATTCCCGTGGTACATAGATAATTTTATTTCTGACTGATTTCATTCATTAGATACCTTCCCGATTGGAAGTTAGACATGTTTTTCCGTATAGTTTCAATGTCATCAGAACGTCAGATGATGATCTTGACTACCGCGAATAGGAGATTCCTTATTGCTACGTTATTGCGTGGTTGTTGCTATGCATTTCTTATTTAATTTCAGCTGGAGGAAATTATAGCATCTATAACATCCCAAGGGAGTTATGACCCTCATTATAGATATCGTAACTATGACGATATAAGCTTATAATGTCACTGTCAGAAATAAAACCAATTTGTGTATATCGTTTATTATGCACATGCACAAGGGAATTCATCTGTGAATAAATCGGAAATGGATTGTTTATCGAAATTTTGCAAGCATGCTTTCTACTAATTTCTACTTATGAAAGAGGCTTTAATAATCATCATGTTCAATCCTGAAATCGGTGCCTATAGATGCCTGTAACTATTTTTGACTCAGTGTTAAAATGCGGGTTCAGATATGTATGTATTCACATATATATCAAATGATGAATATTTTCTAAATCGACTTCAACTCAACATCATTAATTCAAGTTAATATAGTAGATTTGTAGATATATACATATTATAATATTAATTTGAAAAATGCCTTCATGTTGCGAGTCTCTTACTGGATATACGGGACAACCCTGTCTATGGAGAATAGGAGGCGGTTTTTTAGTAAACTTTATTATTTTGAATTGTTATCTCAACTTCCATAGAATGGCCTCTTCGATATATCTATAGAAAAATCTTCGCAAAAAAAATGGGAATTCTATAGATCATAACAAATGTTCGATCGGCATAAGATAGGTATCTACCTCTATGGTATACAGTGTGTCCCAGCTGAAACTTGACACCCCTTTAATCTCCAATGTCGGTAAAAAAATTTGAGATCGCTCGGATAGGTCGATTTCAATTTGGCGGGGGACATATTTTTGTATCATCATATTCCATAGTTGGAATCTTGAAGCGTATCGGGCATCAACTCCCGATTTTCAAATGTAGTATCTGTATTTCATTGCATTTTTAAATTCTCCCTGGAGAGCTATACTTTCGTCAATGTATCACACTCGGTGTCTGGCGGGAATGATAACAGAGATATAGGGTGTTCTAAATCGAGATCATAATTCTGAATCTTGAACCACCCTGTATTTGTTTTAGTTGAATGTCAGTAGATAGTGAATCGAAAGTTAAGACAGGGACATGGAAACCGTTTTGACCGATAATGAATAGTTTCAACACAAAAAAATCCTAGTTAAAAAATCTCGATTCTGAACACCCTATATCTCTGTAAACATTCCCTCTAGACACCAAGTGTGATGCATTGATGGAAGCAGCTCTTCAGGGAGAATTTGAAAATGCAATAAAATACCCATACACCATTCGAAAATCGAGAATTGGTGCCCGATATGCTTCAAGATTCCAACTTTGGAATATGATAGTTGCAAAAAAATGTGTCCCCCGCCAAACTTGAATCGATCTGTCCGAGCGGTTTTCAATTTTTTCAACGACATCTGAAATTAGGAGGGTGACAAGTTTCAGCTGGGACACACTGTATATCAATTCACTTAAGCATGGCCTCGACTGAATGATAGTTTCCCTTCTTCTGTATGCTATCTTCGAAGCTACAATGTTATTGAAATCGGAACTTATTCGAAGTCTGAAATGATGGAATATGAAATGGGGATAAAATGATGATATCTGGTGGACAACGAACTTTTATTCACAACCATATATGTAATGTTGTCATTACTAACGTCATTGAAGGTTGGGAAGTGTCACATTACACACCTCTACTTCCCGCCCTCAATCATGTAATAATTCAGGTATGTTCAGAACGAAACATAGATTCATGAATTTTGATCGAAATATGATGGTTGTAAATAAAATAGTATACTACAAACCTCGGTAGGGAGTTTCATTCCTGTCTCGAGATTGTAGCTAACCTCGACGCTTTGCGTCATCTCTGGTCTCGGTTAACTAACTAATCTCACGACAGGAATGAACCACTTTCCACCTGGGTGTGTAATATACTATTAAGTACTCATTCAAGCGTGGCCAGCATGGTTATATGAAGTCGATGTCAAGCTTTTGGCTCTGAGAAGAATGTTTTTGCATTTGGAAAGATACCTATTTATATTTAATATTCAAGTTTGGAGTTAACAGGTATTGTTCCATATGCCAAATAACTGAGCAGGGAAGGTCGAAAAATATAATTATTATCCTTTGAACTATCCATTGGGCAGACAAAACCGAAAAGTTTTCAGGCATGAGCATTCATATCGAACTTTATGCCACAGAATACGTATTGTTAACCTCCAGCTATGAAGGTGTAATGAAATACAATTCCTTTCCATTTATTAGAATATACATGGTGGAGACTTTAACTGGAATAAATGAATGTTTTTTTTTTATGAAAATTTGCGAGACACGTCAACGTTTGATTGTATTTACCATCATTTTGCGATCAATATAAAGATTTTAACCCTCACGGATTAGTTGAAATCAACCACATCATGTTTTTTTTTCGAATGCAACCCTATGGCTCATTACATCTTATTGGAAAGCTAGCTGAAACAGGAATCCAGCGTACTGATCCAAATTCAGTATGCAGTACGCTTGCTAGTCGAATAAAATCTGAATATAATTTCGAAATTCAATATATTTTCATCAGAATTCAGATTCCTAGTGACAGTGATATTAGGCAATTTCTTCAGTTTGCAATAACACTTCGTTTCGAACTGTGATTACGGCATAAAAAAAGATCTTGTTGCGGCTTCATAAAAACACTGGAATATAATAGCCGGTAGCAGTTGTGGCAATGAATTGTAATCAATTGTTCAACACACGTTTCGAGCAATTGTTACGTTAAAAATCAATAGAATTTTGAAATTACATTTTAGTTTCATGCAACCCTCAAACGTACAAAAAAATTGAATTTCACCAATTCGCTGGATTCCTCTTTCCACCACCACCACCACCAGCAGCTTTTCAATGATAGGGTTGCGTTTGAGAAAAACATGTTTAAGGTGGTTTCAGTTACCCCTGGAGGGATATATTCTTGATATTGCTTGCAAAATGCAGGTAAATACATCGAATCGTCGACATCTTCCAAGAATTTTTTGAAAAAATATTCACCTCTCCGCTAGTGAAGGTATTCCAGTTGAAGTCTCCACATTGTTTATATTTATTCTTCTGGAATCATGCTGTTTTCTCCATGATTTTATATATAGAATGTTCCAGAGATGTGGTAAGAAGAGCCTAAGGGAGTTTCAAATGTCCGAAAATGCTTCGTTTCCGAGATACAGGGTGCGTGCTAATTTGAGAAAAAAATAGTTTTTCAATATCTTGTGAACGATTTCAATGAAATGAGTCATCCACACAATAACTACATTCACTAGACCAATTAGATTTGATCTAGAATTTCCAGGGGCGTACTCATCGAGCAAGTCGGTTTTTTTGTAGAAAATAATGCACCCTCTAGTTTTTCTGATCCTTTTCGGAAATTCAGATGGACCCACTAAGAATACAACATTTTTTTCCTGCAAAGTTTCCGTATCTTGCTTCGTTTTCGAGAAAAACTGACAATACCATTCCTCGGCATATCTCTGAATTGCATGAGGAAAAATAAAAATGCTAAGATATTATCCAAATTGCCCATTATTATTTATGGAAACCAAGAAGGAATAAAATTCACTTCTCTTTCTGAAATGTAGAAGTTTTGTGAGAAATATTTTTTCAACAAATACTATTTTTTTTTTTAAACTGGGATACTTTACATCTCGGAAACGAAGCATTTTAGAACCTATATCTTATATTTTGTTATTAGGAATGTCCCATAGGCATTTGTCACCACAACGTACTCTGAAACATCCTGTATATTATGCATAGCTTCAACGTATTCTTTGGAAAATTTCATGTTTGAGATGCCTCCTACACTTCTGTTCAGAACTCAATACCCTAAATATCATCTGATATAATTTCAATACCGCGACTTACTTCTTCGAACATTATTGGGAGGGATTCCCTTTCGTACGCTCCAAACGAAAAAAAAATATCTGCTTCAACTGTATTCATTTCAGATGCTAAAATGCAGAGATAGAATATGCACACAGAGGTAATTCTATAATTATATTACCATATATTTTCACATTGAATGATTTAGAATTTCATGTACGAGACAAATTTCCCGCGATTAATTCATGCACGTGGAGGATTCGGTGAGAAAATTTTATACCGGAATGATATAGGGTCCTGCATCTCACCTCCCGTCTTCTATAGCTCTGTTATCAGTTGAGTCAGGATTTAGATATATCGCAGACTCCAATTGTCTCATAGGGCGCATACCAGCAAGATAATTTCGATTATACAGGGTGTCCCAAAAAAGTGTGACGTCATAATGATATATTTTTTTAAATGGCATGCCATATTTTGTTGCACATTTGAGTGCTTTCAGTGGCTACCTACATACTCCTGGAATTCAATTGAAATAGGTCCAGTAATATTCACGTAAAAAGAACATAACAAAAAAATCAATTTTGCACCACTGGTCAAAATCAATTATAACAAGAAGGTAATACAGAGGGTAATACTCTTATTTGTTTGTTTTGAAAAGTTCATTACTAGAACTACTGTGATTTTCGAAAAACTTTTATCGCCTTGATATACATCAACGCTTGTCCAACAAATATTATATAAACTAGCGAATGAGTAATCGAGGATCTATTCCACATTTCATAATAATCCAATCTCAATCACCCTGTGGAAGGTGTTATGGGCATTATTAAAATTAACAGCGAATAAATCTGCTAGCCCATGTAAAATATTGTGTCATATTTATATCATGGAATTGTTCATAGTAGGAGAGCCGGCTGCAGATTTCTACCGTCATCTGATAACGAAATGATATAAACTACTTACCAGATGAAGTGGGACAGCCAAAAAATTGACTAATTTTGATAAGCTATAACTCGTACATTTCTTGGCCGATGTTGGATTTCCAACCAAAGGAAGAAAGCGTCATCTTTGGGCTATGCGTCATCGGCGTCGACTTTTTATTTTTGCTATTCGTTCTCTTTGTACAGAGTGTGAATTAAGAGCCGGAAAAATTTCAAATTTTTGACCAATAATTTGGGAATTGTGAGGGACCCTAGAATTCTTTTTCAGATGTTGGGTGAATGGTTGGTCCGATACCTCGGGACGTCTTTGAAATTTTTTCGATAAATTTCGTTGCTATTGAAAAATCGTCATTTTATGAAATTCCATTTTTATTTTAAAATGTGGCCTTTCTTAGTTGAACAATAACAGCTAACATCTGAACTGCAATAAGGGATATTTCTACTGAAGATAATTAACACCAGTGGCTCGCAAAAAGGGGTTTATGATATTTTGAAACGAAAAAATTCAACAGTTTTATTGATCGTTACAGTTGAAGAGGTGTCATACCCTCAAATAGCATGATGTTGACAAATTCAGAGGCGTGCAGAAAAGGGGCTAATGATATTTAGAAAAATAAAAACGTTTTTATTGAAATAAAAACAACAGATTTATTGACCGTTACAGTAAAAAAGTTGCCATACATTTAATTAGCATGATGTTGACGAATTCAGAGGGGTGCGAAGGATGATTCTGTAATCATTGACGTATTAAAGAGGATCCATCATTAAAGGCGATTCAAAAAGTTTGATATGGAAACATTTCTAATGATTTCATCAAGTGTTGTTCTCTGTTCGCCCAGTGAAAATCTGCTTGTATAATCATTTATGAATGAAAATTCAGGAACGTAACTTTGGTGTTTCTCGAACCGTACAATTTGATAATTTTGTCAAAAAAATCAAAAAATCTTCGATTTTTGCCCCCCCCCAAAAATTGTTCAAATATTTTTTCTTTATAAATTTTCTCGTCCTATTTCTGATGAAATATTTTTTTAGATAATTATTTTTTTCATTTTTACTACACGGACCCGATCATGACACGATCAAAAATTTTTTTACTGGGCGAACAGAGAACGACACTTAGCAAAATTATTTAAAATGTTTCCATACAATGTAACATTTTCAAATCGCCCTGTATCGATGAATTCTCTTATTTGATTATGAAACTGGAATTTTAATCTGTCTACGATTACAGAATCACCTTCTGCACGCCTCTGAATTTGGTAACATCATGCTAATCGGATGTATGAAAACTTTTTTACTGTGACGATCAATGAATCTGTTGTTTTTTTTCCAATAAAAACGTTTTTTTAGTTTCTGAATATCATAAGCCCCTTTTCTGCACGCCTCTGAATTTGTCAACATCATGCTAATTGAGGGTATGACACCTCTTCAACTGTAACGATCAATAAAACTGTTGAATTTTCCCAATAAAAACAAATGTTTCTTTTCTAAATATCATAAACCCCTTTTTGCGCGCCACTGGTGTTAATTATCTCCAGTAGGAATATCCCTTATTGCAGTTCAGATGTTGGCTGTTATTGTTTAACTAAGAAAGGCCACATTTAAAAATAAAAATGGAATTTCATAAAATGGCGATTTTTCCATAGCAACGCAATTTATCAAAAAAATTTCAGAGACGTCCCGAGGTATCGGACCGACCATTCACCCAACATCTAAAAAATAATTCTAGGGTCCCTCACATCTCCCAAATCATTGGTCAAAAATTTGAAATTTTTCCAGCTCTTAATTCACACTCTGTACAAAGAGAACGAATAGCAAAAATGAAAACCCGACGTCAATGACGGAAATTTCAAGGATGACGCTTTCTACCTTTGGTTGAAAATCCAACATCGGCCAAGAAATGTACGAGTTATAGCTTATCAAGATTAGTAAATTTTTTGGTTGTCCCACTTCATCTGGTAAGTAGTTTATCTCCCAAAGAAAAGTAAAAACATTTCAGTTCATCGAACGGCACCTGTGCCAATCACTATCTTGGGCAGAAATTTGCACAAGATTTCACGATTTGACAACGATATGAGAATTATGCCATCCGATACCAATTGGATGGTTGATCTCAAAAACCTTCCTGTGCCTGGACATACTTTCGTCATATGATAACGAGTTAAAACAAAAAGCACCGAAGGGAAAAATGTACTTCTTGCGAATATTTCCTGGCGGCTCTTGGTCTATTATGATACAACCACTTTACAGATCAATTTTATTGACTTTTGAATAGGACAGTTTGCAGCATGGTAAAGTAGCAGGAAGATTCTGCAATTGTTTTTGGATAAACTATATCAATAAATTAGTCCAAGGAATATGCGCTGAAGCTATATGTTCATCAAGTCACAAATCACCCTGTGTGTCTGTTGAATAAAAATGCTGAATATTTGAATGAATATCAAATAAACTGGTCAATATTCTAAACGTGAAGTCGAAAAATTTTTGATCGCTTTCGAATTATTTCAACTTCCGATTACTTCACCCGCTCTTAAATTTTTTCTCAATGTTTTTCGTGGTCTGATATTTTCTCGTTCGCATAGGATCCGTATTCGGTTGTCCAAATCTGAAGTCAAAATGATACAAATTTGATCGAAAGTTTTCGATTTCATGATTTGAATTAGGATGGAGTCATTTCTATAATCATGCATTAACATTATTTTCGTCTCATGGTGATCCTAGGTTTCAGCTACCTTCATAACATAACAACACATTCTATGGTTCTTGGTTGTTCCTTTCATGCACAAGCTAACTCCAAGTAAGTTCTCAAATACTAATAAAATTCATCAGCTGAATCATCATCACTAAACCGTTCTTTTTTATTCATATGAAATCCAGTAAAAATTTTAGGTACGGAGCAGCAAACCAGACGGCCCTTTGGGTTTTATCTTGACCACAGTACAGGATATTCCAGAAAACATTGGAAAGGCTTTCCGAGATGCAGAAAGGTTTACCAGAGAAAATGTTCTGCCTATCGTCAACAGTCTAACACCAAAATTCATCACCGATCTTTTCGCTCCAAAGGAATTACCAAGATTGATCCCCTTTAGCAGTGAAGAATCCGCTTCGGAGTTTTCCATGAAACTTCCTGGTGTTACCAGAGATAAAAGAAATAAAAAGCTTTCTTCTTCGATGGATGAAAATTCACATATTCAAACTAAAGCAGCTATTGAGAGTACTATCGCTTCAGAGACAACAACTCCATATAGTCACATTCAAAAAATTCCATTGAAAATGCTGAAATGAATTGATTGAACATTTTGCCAACCGTCATGGCGTATTCCATTGTGATTTTGTATATAGCTGTGTAAATAGTTTGTAAGATTTTGAGCCGACATTTCATATATTATTATAATTAATAAAATAACCAAACACTGATCACGACTTTTATTCAACATATTTCATATTTCTGGGATGGTGGTTATGGAGCATGAATCTAAGAATCTTTCTAGGTCTTCTAATCTTCTTACTTCTCTCTGTATGTGCTTCAAGTGGCCCCATCTCAGTTGTTTGAGCTGCTTTATGTATACAGGTTCTTCTATAGACAAAATAATAAAAGTGGTTATACAGGATGTTCAAGTTTTAATGACTTATACTCTAGGAAACGATAGATGTATTAGGACAATCAAATAATGGTTCATGACGAGACACATTCCACCAGTTTTGAAATTCGTCATTCTTCTATATAGTGTATTAAATCTTTCTATTTATTGACCGATATCAACTTTTTTGCTGATTATGTACCAAGCAATGCGATTTACTTTCCTGAGCTCAATTTCTTCATTTTGCAATATCACATGATGGAATGAATGCGGAAATCCATTTAGTAATATTAGGCATTCTTTATCGGGAAACTGGTATCAGCATGTTTCAAAACGGAATCACTTTGTCTATCGAATGAAAACATATTTCAAAGGTGGGTTAGCAATTGAGTTGCCTATTCCATTATTGATACAGAAATGAGGGAAACTAGAGTCACTGGATGGTATTAGTTTGATAAGAGTTCGGACACAGCTGAACTTTTGTCCTTTTCTATTTTCTATAATACAATGGTTTGAGTGAATGAAAGAATAAGACATATATTCTGCTCTTTGTCTTTTCAATTTCCCTAGTAGCGCCTGATTGTCAGATACGATTTTAGAGGTTATATTTTCTGTCAAATCAATCATAGCAGTAGATGGACAATGGGTATAGGGTACAAACACCCACTTCAATTTATAGTGATACACTTCTAGCAGAACAACTGTTATATAAATGAAGAGAATGCATTTAACAACATTTTAATATTAGAAAATATTCACATATGGATAAACTTATAGCTATAGTGATGAGTATAAAACATGAAGTTATCTATATTGAATTAAAGGTAGGTATTCTCAATATACAGGAAGTAACATAAGTACTTTCAAGTGAAGTATTCCTGAGACAATTATAAAAAATGAAGTCTATATAAGCTTTTGTGTCCGGAAATACTTCATTTCGATGATACAGGGTGCTGAAATACAGAGAACAAATCATTTTTCGATAAACATTTGATAGGAAAAAAGTAGTTTATTTTGACGAGACCTACCAAATACTTGGTTTTGTAAAGTTCTCAGCAACTCCACTTAGCGCCCTAGGAGCTAAGTAACATGGATCGATATAGAAAATATCTCCAAAACGATAACGTCCAGCGTAATTAAGGCCCTTATAATAATTCTCTTGATACATAAATAACTATTCACTTTCCACTGTTAAATTTCAAATTTGGTCGGTACCAAAAACGCCATTCAATAATATATCACTTTGTAGTTTACTTGCTTTTCTTAGTTTCGTTTTCAAATTCTCAATTTCATTATTTAATTTTGTGATCATTTCCTCTCTTCCATGATTATTTTGTTTTGTATTTTTTGTGATGATAATGATGGAATTTTGTTCTCGAAATCGCCTGCTTTGAAAATTGATGGAACAGCAGATTCTCAGAGAGTTTGAAATCTTCTGGGCCTAAAATAGAGTTTCATTCTGATCAGATGCTGTTATGAAAAGTGAATTTGAATGAGTACCTACCTCACAAATTTTGCTCGTCCTTAAATTGATTTTGCACCCAGGCCATTTCTTCCTTCCATGAGCGAACGGTTGATATTTGTTTCGGAAAATTGAATAAATGATATCCATTTTTTTTTTTCAGAATTGGCACAATTTATTACACAGCAAGTAATTTCCATAGCTGCTTTTATCTCGAATGTATAATTATGAAATTTTATTCCAATTCTGACGTTAATAAAATTAATTGTCAAATTCAAACAATTTTGAATGAAAAAGCGCGGGACGACTATGGTGCTCTTGTCACTTCAAAAACCCTAACCGTTGTCATTTCTGTGTCCGAACTCTTATCAAACTAATACCATCCAGTGACTCTAAGGGAAACAATTCCACGTCAGCAATGCATGAACAGACGAAGAATCAAATGAAAAAAGTCGAATTTCCTAAAGTGCAATAATTATTTAGCAGAGAACATCATGAAATGAATAGTCTTTTCCACAAAATATTCAACAAAACTGAAGAAACGTGGATGATCACTGACAATAAATTACTTCGTTTGCTTATATGTCATGCAGGTCGTTGAATTACATCCTCACAAATGCTATGGACATATTTGTATTGATAAATACTGGTTTTCAAGTGATTTTTGCTCAATTCCAAATTGTGTCCGAATTGTAGCCAGGTAACACTAAACACTCAATCAACTACAACTGGTTTCGGGCTATTCACCATGATTAATGTAGGGTAGAGTCACTGAATGGTATTAGTTTGATAAGAGTTCGGACACAGCTGAACTTTTGTCCTTTTCTATTTTCTATAATACAATGGTTTAAGTGAATAAAAGAATAAGACATATATTCTGCTCTTTGTCTTTTCAATTTCCCTAGTAGCGCCTGATTGTCAGATACGATTTTAGAGGTTATATTTTCTGTCAAATCAATCATAGTCGTAGATGGACAATGGGTATAAGGTACACCCACTTCAATTTATAGTGATACACTTCTAGCAGAACAACTGTTGTATAAATGAAAAGAATGCATGTAACAACATATTAATATTAGAAAATATACACATATGGATAAACTTGAAGCGATAATGCCTTATTGTATGTGAAACTGTACTCCATTGATAAGTATGAAACATGAAGTTATTTATATTAAATTAAAGGTGGGTATTCTCAATATACAGGAAGTAACGTACTTTCAAGTGAAGTATTGCTGAGACAATTATAAGAAATAAAGTCTATATAAGCTTGTGTCCGGAAATGAATCATTTCGGAGATACAGGGTGTTGAAATACAGAGAACAAATTATTTTTCGATTAACATAGGATAGGAAAAAAGTAGTTTATTTTGACGAGACCTACATGGATCGATATAGAAAATATCTCCAAACGATATCCTCCAGCGTAATTGAGGCCCGTATAATAATTCCCTTGATACATAAATAACTATTCACTCTTCACAGTTGAATTTTAAATTTGGTCGGCACCAAAAACGCCATTCAATAATCTATCACTTTGTAGTTTACTTGCTTTTCTTAGTTTCGTTTTCAAATTCTCAATTTCATTATGTGATTTCGCGATCATTTCCTCTTTTTCCATGATTATTTTGTTTTGTATTTTATGTGATGATAATAATGGAACTTTGTTCTCGAAATCGTCTGCTTGGTAAATTGATGGAACAGCAGATTCTCCCAAACAGATTTTGAAATCTTCTGTTTGAAAATGGGTCCAAAATAAAGATTCATTCTAATCAGATGCTGTCATAAGAAGTGAATTTTAATGAGTACCTCACAAATTTCACTCGTCTCCAATTTGGTTTTGCACCCAGGCCATTTCATATCTTCCTTCCATAAGCGAATGGTTGATATTTGTTTCGGAAAATTGAATAAATGATATCCATTTTTTTCAGAATTGGCACAATTTATTACACAGCTAGTGATTTCCATAGCTGCTATTATCTCGAATGTATAATCATGAAATTTTATTTCAATTCTGACATTTATAAAATGTATTGTCAGATTCAAACAATTTTGAATGAAAAAGCGCGGGACGACTATGGTGCTCTTGTCACAATGCAAAGTGTGTAACTTAATAAATCTAAACATTCAAAAACCCTAACCGTTGTCATTTCTGTGTCCGAACTCTTATCAAACTAATAACATCCAGTGACTCTAATGTAGGGCAGTCACCAGATCCGGTGTTCTCCGTCTGAAGCCGATACCAGACCAAATGAAAATACAGTTCGGCGTAAACAGCATTTTTGAACAACTAATTAGTAAACTTGAGTCACAGGATGGTATTGGTTAGATAAGAGTTCTGACACAGAAATGACAACTGTTGGTGTTTTTGTAGGTTTAGATTTATTAAGTTACACATCTTGCATTTTTTTATCGTTTGGGAAGTTTTTACATTTACCTTGCATTATGACAAGAGCACCAGAGTCGTCCCTCGCTTTTTCATTCGAGATTATCTAAATTCGACGATACATTTCATGAACGTCAGAATTGAAATACGATTTTAGAAGCTATTGAGAAGAAAGCATATATGAAAATTTCGTGCTGTGTGATGAATTGTGGGAATTCTGAAGAGAATGGATTTCATTCATTCAATTTTCCAAAGGAAATATCAACCATTCTCAAATGCAAAGAATGTATGAAACGGTCTTCCAGTACAATTAATTTGAAGACAAGCAGAATTTGTGGGGTATATGTACATTAAAATTCACTTCTTATAACAGCAGATTACGATATTTGAACAGGAGATTTTAAGATCCGTTAAAGAGAATCTGCTGTTCCATCCATTTACAAAACGAACAATTAAAAAAACTATCATTATCATCACACGAAATGCAAAATGAAATCATCATGGTGAAAGAGGAATTGATTGCAGAACTACGTGATGAAATTGAAAATTTGAGAACGAAATAGAGGAAATCAAGTGAATTCCAACGTGATGTACACTGTGTCCAAGATAAGGATGTCTATCATGGAAATCGTTTTTATTTTTTTCAAGTTGATGAAAGAGATATGGAAAAACAAAAGACACTTTCTCATTCCTATTAGGAAGCTCTACAATATAGCGTTGAGCCATTTTCCGTACGACGTTTCGTTTCGGAGATCGCGGTAGCCAAAGTCATTAGATGACGTTGTGATGACATTAAAAACTACGGGAAAACCTCCTAATGCCTGGCGTAGATTGAGAGTTGGACTTGTTTTTCCGGAGATTTCAATGTCATCAGAAAATCATCTAATGACCTTGGCGACCGCGAATACCGACCGAGCTAGCTATAAGTATATATATAACTGTTGTTCTGCGAAAAGTGCCTTATCGCAATAAATTGAAGTGGATGTA